ATCAAATCTAGATTATGAAAACGTATAGAGTCTTGACCAATTATATAAATTTAGGCAATTATTTAAAATATTAGATATTTATCTATAAGAATTAAACTTTTCTAATTATTGATGTGGGATTAGAGAGTCTATATTCTGCAACAATATATTAATTTTATTGCATTAATAAAAAAAATTAGTGGAATCAAGCAAATATTTAATACTTAAGATAACCATATATATAATTAAAGGATTCTCTCTCAATATAAAGTGTCTATCCAACCAAAAGAAATTTGATTAATGAAGACCATAGACAACAAACATTATATATTAATCTAAGATTCTCATTATTGAAATAAAAATTCAGTAATATACTTAAAAAATTTTCTTTAAAATGATCCATTCAAGATTTGTTTTCTTCTTTGCTTTCCTTGCTCTCTCCATTTTACTTGCAAGTTAGTATCTTTAGATCAAGACCGTGTTACACTGATTTTTTATTTTATTACTATATGTATTTCTTTAAATTAGATTCTTGACTATATATATGTGGGTACATGAATGTTATTTTACAGATGTTGAAACTATAGATATGGTGAGTTATGGTTTGATGTGGTCTCACCACCACAAACGACGTTCGTTGTGTTGTAAGGATCATCCCAAGTTTGGAGTATGTCGTAATAATAAAAAGTGCAAGAAATGGTGTCTTAAAGGTTGTAGAAATAAGAAAGGTGGATTTTGCAAGAAAAAAGTTTGTCACTGCTACTGTTAAACAAGGTGGCTATGCCAAAATTTTTTTTTTTTTTTGGTTCATTGCTTCTCTTTAACATATTCGATTACAAATTTAATAAAATTTTGTTTGTTAATGTTACCTTTACATTTTGTTAAATGTTTCAATCTAAACTAACAAAACTACCAATAATCCTTACAAGAACAAAACCCATTCATAAACCGATGAAACCTGTTATTGTTTCTTACGATGATCTCTCTATTAACACTTCCAGAGACAAACTTGAAGAAGCTATGGCAATCTCCACATATCCTAAGGTTCTTGGTGATTCTGATGGGGACACCGAGTGGTAAAGCTACATATCCTAAGGTTCTTGGTCAGCCTTGTCTGAATTTCTTTGTTCATTCTGTGGGATTTATCCTTGGCTTGAAAGGCATTGGACTTGGTTCTTCACTGTGATCCAACTGTACCCGGTTCCTTTCTTGATTCCTACGCCTTTCATTTCCTCTCTCATGGTGTTCACTTTTGCTCACCTATCGGTTAGATCAACGTTACTCAAGACGAAACTAATTCTTGTTCTTATTCGAAATTGAAACTTGGAATACGGTTTCACTTGGAGAAAGTTTCCAAATATTGAAACGGAGGGAGTATCTTTTAAACCCACTTGGAGAAAGTTTCCAAATAGAGAAATTGAAATTTGGAAACAAATTTATGTCTTAAAAATCTTAAATTTGGAACTTGGGCCCATAAAATTTATGTCTAGGGTTTATGTGCTGTATATATATATAAGCCAAAAAAAGAGCGGCTGCTGAACCTGTAAAACCTAGATCGATCTCGATTCCTTTGATTGATTTAATTCTTGTGTATGTTTTATAAACTTGTTTCTTTGATAGTTTTTGTTTCTCTTTGTTGAAGATAAGTCACTTGTGGAAAATGCTGGATTCTGTTGATTTCCTCAACAAAGCATATCAATTGGTTAATGATCCTTCAACGGATTCAGCAATCTCGTGGGCACCAAAGGGCAACAGTTTCATGGTTTGGAATCCGCAAGAATGTTGCAGAGTCCTCTTTCCTCGACTCTTAGGAACCTTTACCAACTTTAAAAGATTTGAAACCTACGTAAGTTTATTTGTTTTTAGAGAACCAAAATGTTTCAATTTATAATAACTTGTGATCCACGTACTTATCGTAGGGTTTTACAAAAATTGAGTCCGGAGAACATTTGGAATTTGCAAACGATGATTTCGTGAGAGGCCAACCTGATCTTTTGGAGAGGATTAGCGAACGCAACATTTTGGAAGGTAAATCCATGCATATTCGATTTGCTTGATTGGTTTTGTCCACAATGTGTTGTTTTCTAAAATTTTCGACTTTTAAGAATTTTGAAATTGATCTGATCAGAGTCTTTGTTTTTGTCAAGAAAGACTCTAAAATGAATCGTGAAGCTATCTATGATTTTGTCAAGAAAGCATATGAATTGGTGAATGATCCTTCAACGGATTCAGTAATCTCGTGGAGCGAAGACGGCAAAAGGTTCACAGTTTGGCATCCTGCAGAATGCTTAAGAAACCATTTTGTTTTGTTTTGTTTTTGATGCATCATTATTCACAATATCATAATGATTTAATTATTTCACAATATCATATTGCATTATTGTTTTTGACTAAATAGTATTGAAAATGTCAATTCAAGTTTTAACTAGGTTTTGTAATATTTAAACAAACTTGACAATGTATTCAAAAACATCCAAATATACCGTTTCTCTCGAATCTCCTAACAAATAGACAAGAAAAACAAAATAGAGAAAGAAGAGTTTTTTTTTTTTTTGAAAATTAATAAAGAAGAGTTGCTTGCAGAGTTAAAGAAACAAAACGAAGTAAAGTAACATTTGCAACACATAAGAATTTGCAAATTATGACCAAAGCTCAATCTCATCTAACTACAAATAA